ACCATTAACCAGTGATGCTGCCATGTTCTGTGCCTTTGTACACCTTTACCAGGTGAAATATACTCAGAGTCGAGAGTGGATTTCATGCTCTTTATTCAGCTCATAGTGGTGAGGAGGAATGAATGTTTCCCCAAAGTATCTGCTCTATATACATTAATTACACAATGGGCTGCATGTGATTGGTTAATTCCGGAATTCTCCTGTAAGCCAATCAGGTTGTGGATTCACTTCCATCTGGAGCTGGATTGGATGGCTCCTGCAGACCAATCATACTGCTGCATTGTTCTAGGACCAATCAGACTGCTGCATTTTGGATCCTATTCAGCTCAGAACATAACACCAGGTGGTGTGTGCTACATGAGATATGCCCATCTACCACACTTTACTGTGCTTCTTTGTAGTAGTCAATGAGCAGGCAGCAGCAGCAGCACCAAGAAGGCCAGCAGAAGAAGCAGAAGCAGTAATGGTAAGAAAGCCTGGACAGAAGTGGGAATCTGGGATTTCAGTTGCATGGCAAAGGAAACAATTGATATGGGAGGAAGAACATATCATGATGGAAAATAACATTTCCATGGTGGGAAGTTGTGTAGGGTGTGTGTCTTTGTTTCCACAATTTTACCCTTTTATATGGTTTGGTATGTATTGTGGTGTTTTATGCATTGTGACTTGCTGTTATTTTTATTGATTATAGTTCAGTAATGGTTAAGAGTGATTTTCTGTTTAATTCTTATTTGCTGATCTTTTATTGTGTACTCTTATATTCTAATGGGAATATTACTTTATTTGATACAACTTGTTTATTTTAAAGTTATGTTTTTATTATGACTTTTTTGTACTGGATCAGATTGTTATAAGGTGTGTGATCTTTGCTGTATATTTTTTTGTTTCTTCAGTTTGCAAACCGCCTTGTGTCTAGTAATGTAGAAAGGCAATATACAAATTAAAAGTGAGGTGAAGAAGTGAAGTGTGGGGAACCACAGGCCATGGGGCATAATGCTGCCCTCCCCCTGGCCTCTGTATCTGGCCTGTAGGATCCTCCATACGACATTCCCCCACCTCAGAGGCCTACTCTGCACTTTCCTCTTTTACCTGGTTGAAATGTGTCCTTGAACTGTGACAATGCTTCTTGCTTCCATGGGTGGAGGGGTATGTATATGTGTGTAGAAGCCTCTGGTTTTTGAATGCCTGGAATGTACGCTAGTATACAAAAGTAAGAGTCGCATCCATTGCTCTACCTCCTATGACCTCAAGTCCTGACCGTTGCCAGCATGCAATACCCAGAAGATTCCCCACAAGAAAATGTGGCCCCTGTCCTGTAAAGAGTTCCCTATTCCTGCAGTAGTGAAATCAGAGGCAGCCAGGAGGACAGAGTTCTGCATTTAGCTCGTTAGAAAAAGGAATTTCAGAGGGTATAGTTCCCCCCCACCCATATGGGAATTTCCCTTTAAAAAAAGGGAAACGTTGACAGCTATGCCCCCACTCCTGTAGCACAATGGCATGACAATCCACACCTGCCAAACTCCTCTTTTCTACACTGTGAACTGTACAGGAAGTCTCTCTCTCTCTCACTATTCAGGAGGCAATGAAGTGTGGAAATGTGGAAAATGGCAGCAGCTCAGTGTCAACAGAGGCACCTGACTTCAGGGATATAGCATGTAGAATATAGCATTGTAGATCCAAAATACCAACGAAATAAAATTTTAGTACAATGCAGATGTCCACAGTTAACTACACCTGAATAAAATAGCACATTCTTTTTCTGTGACTTCCTATCCCTGCATGTAGCTGCTTCACAGGCATTGGCACTGCATCAACAGCCCTGTTCACACCAGCCAGAGCAGATGGTGGGAAGCCTGTAAGGCAAGCCCCTTCACTGCAGCAGCTCCAAGGCTAGTGCTGTGAAGAAGCCCAGATCAGGCCTACTGGCATCACATGACAGCAGCAGGGTCTGCACCAGATCCAGTCGATCATGTGCTGTCCCCACAATACCACAAAATGGTACGTGAGTTTCTGCTAGCTACAGGAGTGCCACCAGCAGTAACTTCTGCCTGTCTACCAGTTGATCAGCTACAATGTGGTGCTCCTTGCCAGTGAAGAATCTCCAATGATGGTTGATTGATTTGATTATTTAATTATTTTCTATATCGCTTAATATATAAAGAATATCTCTAAGGTGCACAAAAAGCTGAAGCAACAGACGACTTAAACAAAATATTACAAAAATGCCCAGTTACATATGAAAATGTTACAGTAATACAAAGTTACTAATATAGATGAAAAGGTAAAGGATTAACCTGGACGGTTAAGTCCAGTCAAAGGTGACTATGGGGTTGTGGCGCTCATCTCGCTTTCAGGCTGAGGGAGCCAGCGTTTGTCCACAGACAGCTTTCCAGGTCATGTGGCCAACATGACTAAACCGCTTCTGGAGCAACCGGACACAGTGCACGGAAACACTGTTTACCTTCGTGTCGCAGCAGTACCAATTTATCTACTTGCACTGGTGTGCTTTCAAACTGCTAGGTTGGCAGGAACTGGGACAGAGCAACAGGAGCTCACTCCGTCACGGGGATTTGAACCGCTGACCTTCTGATCAGCAAGCGCAAGAGGCTCAGTGGTTTAGACCACAGCACTACCCACGTCCTGTTACTAATATATATATAAATCAATATAGATTCATTTTCCTTCTGACACACCCTCCCTCTCAGCCTCTGGGTTCTCACCCAAGGTCCAAAAACCCCTCTCAGCTCACCCACGAAAGTCTCACAATGAGAAGAGTCCTGGAAACAGCTGACAATTGCTCTAGTCTTTCACTCTAGGATTGCTTTTTATGGGCAGGCCCAAAGTGGATGCTAGTTCCTCAGGCTGCCCACAGCTGTGTCCCATTCAGCTGCACTCTCAACACCCAGTTCCAGGTACAGCAGGTTTGTTGAACTCTCCCACTAGTGGAGAATGGTGGAGTCCAGCTTGGCAGGGGGACACATCCAATCCATCCAAGTCCCCTCCAGCATCACAGATCAGAGGTTGGGTTTGCTCTGCCTACTGCCCTATTGTGCAGCGTGGCTGTGTGTATAGTACTGCAATTTCAGGTTTGGGCACAAAGTTTCTCATGCTAGCCCTTTCCACACACAAGGCATTTATCCCAAAATAAATGCAAATTGGGGAGGGGGCAAGGCAAGGAGGAAACAAATAAGCTGGACCTGTGGCAACACTTCCCATAATATCTGTCTACAATTCAACATTGTATTTTCCAGTTTATCTCTTGATAATCCAGTGGTAATACACAAGTCATGATCATCACCACATTCCTCAACAGACCTCAAAACATTCCTCCACAAAAAAGAGGCACTCTCTTAGATATTGCTGCAGCTGTGTTTCAACAGCTTGCTGGGAAATGCCAACGTTACTTCTGAGTCTCAGTTTTACACCACGGGTGGGTGTGAATAACAATTTCTACATATTGTGCTGACAGTTTAAAACTAAACTATACATCTGTTGCAAGCAAGCAGCTAGGCTTTGATAGCACCGGCACATCTGGCCATAAAGAACAGTGTTATGAGACATATCAGAGGCAGCTAGTCAAACAACAGGTAGCATCTTGAGAAGGGATGAGAAATACATTTCAAACAATGTTCTATCCAATAGTAGCCCATGTGGCGGGGCACAGCTGTAGAGCCACCCTCCCAACATGAACATCTCTGCAGTTTACCTGGATGGGTATGGGGCAGGGATGCACAGGTAGACCTGTGATCCTTGATCTCAATCTTAATTCAAAATTATTTCCAGATAGTTTTCCGATGCCTGCTCTGGGGCTTTGCCTTTGGCAGAATGGAACATCCTGGAACTTTTCGATAGATCCTAGACAGCTAACAGGAATGAACTCTGGAGGCTACAGCCATCCCTCTGCGATGTTTTTCTGCTGTGGTCCTGAGTAAAACAAACACAGCAATAAATTCTTTCTGATTATAGGGGATATTTTAAATAAATTAAATGTTGAAAAATGGGCAAGAATTTCTGCCTGTCTCTTGTGGTGTAATGCTTCATTGTCTACAGGAAATGTGAATTCCCCTTGAAAATATTATTTCAGTTGTTTTCTAGAGGGCATAAATTGAGCCAAATTCATTTCTAACCAAACACAGCCTAAGCCTTTGCTATCTCACATGGATATGATCATTTGCAACCATTGCTTATTTAAGCTCTTACATGGAGTGTTAAAAATGTTAAGTCTACACACAGTCAAAATTCTCACATGCAGCAGTACACAGAGTGGCTGATAATCCTGTCCAAAGATGTTGCCTGTAAAAGGTTTAAACTGTCTTGAGATCAAGACACCAAAACAGTTATAGACCTGTTTTTCACATTACTTTCTAATATTGGTCCTTTCTTTTTAATTCCCAGACTATGCAATAAAATCTTGACATGAAGTCATTGCTTAAGCATGAAAATAAACACTCTTAGGCTACATACCAGTTCTTTAAAGGATTAATCTTTGTTTTAAGGAATTGCCACTTGCATGGATAAAGAACAGTCTGTATGCGTATTTTGACATATGCCAAAATACCAGATTATACTGAAGATTTCAAAAACAGCTTTATTATGGCTTTAGTTATATGGAATGTACACTTTGCATAAACAGAACATTACTGATAAAATACCTTTTGAATAATTTAAGAAGTTTAATAAAAGAAAAGGTGTGTTCATATTGGCGGCTTGTTGTTGGAACTTGTCTCGATCTTGGCCTATAGCACTGCAAATAAGTGTACAATTCATTTCACACAGCCAATGGTGCTTTCAGCTTTTGTTGCTCAAACAATGACATCCTATGGCACATATACAGTAGCAAAGAACTTTTCAAAACCAAGTGTTTTTTGTGATATAGCATGGGTGTCTACTATTCAAAAGACAAATAATTTGTTATTATTCATAGAATCATAGAACTGTAGCGTTGGAAGGGATCCTGAGAATCATCTAGCCCAACCCTTTGTAATGCAGGAATATGCAGCTGGACCATACGGGGATCAAACCTTTACCCTTGGCATTATCAGCACCATACTCTAACCAACTGAGCTATTCAATAAGCAATCTCATAGGACATGGCCAAGCCTAAAGGAGTTATTTCAGTCTCAACCATTGAGAAAATGCACTGAGAGCATCTCATCCAAATGCTGGAACTAGAATTGCTTGGAGACAAGGAAGTCCCATGAAGTACAATGGAACTTATTTCAAAGTAAGGATGCTTAGATTTGCAACCAACATCGTCCTTTTTATGTTTAAACACTGTCTCACTGCACTCAAGTTTTTAGAGCATGTCCATGCCACAGAACAGCCTTTCCCAATTAGCTATGTACTGCGGACCCCTTGTTTTTCAAAAGCCAAGCCATGGACCGCCTACTTTTGAAAATTTTGATATATCTATGGTAGATTTTGTTATATGAATGATGCCACTGACCTCTTGGGTGGGATACAAAGACCCCCCTGGGATCCACAGACCACCAATTGGGAACTATTGCAACAAAACATAGGAGGCTGCCTTCTATTGAGTCAGAGCACTGGTCCATCATGCTCAGCCATGTCTACATTGACTCCAGCAGCTCTCCACCGTTTCAGACTGGAGTTTCTTACTTGGAGATGCCAGGAGTTGAAGCTATGACCTTCTGCATGTAAAGCAGATACTCTGCCACAGACTTGTGACCTTCCCCCAAATTAAACTTAATACAAAGAACTGTGCATTCCATAAACTAGCGTGAAGAATTGTACATTCACCGGCATTCATAGAGGAGACTGCTGTAAATGTAAAGGCACATCTGTCTGCTTATTCTAGCACTGTACTCGTGTATCACTTGTTCCTGGCAGAGTGGAAAGAGCAAGAAGACGTGTGCAGTTGCCGACTGTTCCATGGATAAAGACAGAACTGCAGCCCTGGCAGATGAAATCTGGCATTGTTAGAGACCACTGAATTGCCAAGTAAAAAGGGTGACAACGTTTTCTGGGAAGCCTAAGCATACTCACAGCATGCAGCTGACAAAAATAATGTTGCAATCATGATTAGGGCAAGAAGACATCGCTTGCAAGTATAGCTGCTCTGGAAAAAAAAACAATGTAAGCTCTTTCACTGCACCACACAGCACAGAGCTACAGGAGCAACAGACACACAGAGAAAATGAATACAAGCACATTCAATTGACCAATTTAACATTTCTGCCCGGTCCCATTTGGCAAGAAAAGTATGACCTCGCTATCCCTGTCCATCAGATGTGCAGTGGTCCGAGTTCAAAGACCTGTTGCTATTTCTGCAGCAGAGTCCCAGTCTTCAGTGTCCTAGAGCTATCCAATCAACATGAATTTTTAAAGTTCCCACTCTTAGGGCTGATTGTAACCAATAAGATTGGAAGGAGGTGAGTCAGCCATTGAGGAATGGCTCCCAGGGTCATTCTGGAGAAGGCTTGCAGGAAGAACTCCAAGGAAGAGTTGCTTTGTACGTTCCAAAGCTAAGCATTTAGCAACACTGGAAACACAAGGTGTTTCAGATTCAAGAGAATGGTGTGCCAGTTCAGCTTTTGTGCAATGGAACATCAAGGAAAACACAGCTTCAGTCACTGTGAACTAAGGTGTTGGAGCACCCCAAATCATTTGCCCATGTACATGCACAGCAAAGACTAGATCTAGCTGAAAGGCAACACAATGAGATCTACATTGATTGTTGTACCGAATCCCTAATTATTATTCTTGCACAATTAAGATACGGTAATTACTGTATATTATTAGAAGGTTGTATGACTATAGAAGTTAGTGTGGCTTTAAAGAGAAGTGGCTGTGACTATTATGAAGGGACCCTGAACTTCTGAATATGTCACTGCACTAGTGATCTCCCTGATATGCCCCTGATATCTCTCCTGGTATGCCCCGCAGAGGACCTTAAGGTCCATGAATAACCATATTTTAGAGGTCCTGGGCCCTAAGGAAGTCAGACTATCCTCCACAAGGGCCAGGCCCTTTTCAGTGATGGCTCTGACCTGGTGGAATGCTCTGTCCCATGAGACTAGGACCCTACAGGATTTAACCTCCTTTTGCCGGGCCTGTAAGACAGAGCTATTTCACCTGGCCTTTAATTTGAATTCAGCCTGATCTTTTATTTCCATTCTCTTTCCTCCCCCTCCCTTTTTATAAAGATTACCCGCTCTGGGACCCCACAGCTAATTCTCCCCTGGCCTCCTCGCTGGCCCAAATAGGACTAATTCAGCCAGCTAGCCCTGGTGACTGTCTAATGTCTATTGGATGGATTTCCCCCAAATTGATTTTTGAACTTTGAATTTTATTGTTTTTCATGCTTTTATACTGTATTTTATGCTGCTTCTATGTTGTATTACAATTAAGTGTTTTAAATTTGTTGTTAGCCTCCCTGAGCCCGGTTTTCCGAACCGGGAAGGGCGGGGTATAAATAAATAAAATTTATTTATTTATTTATTTATTATTGATAAAGAGAACTGCATTGAAGAAAGCTGGTATGACCTACGAAGTCTGCAGTTTCATTCTTCCTTCACTAGAATGTATGAATCTGCTTTATATAGAGTCAACTGACTGGTTTCAGAGAGGATCTTTCCTAGCTCTACCTGGATATGGCAGTGATCAAGCCTGGGACCTTCTACCTGCAATTCAGTGTGTGGAGGTGTACTGTTTATCATTATTAAGTTATGCATTCTGTGATCTTATGTTGTAAACTGCCCTGTGACTGTTGAATCAAAGAATCATAGAATTGTGTATTTGGAAGGGATGTCGAGGGTCATCTTATCCAACCTCCTGCAATGCAGGAATATGCTGGTGTCCCATATGGGGACTGAACCTGCAACACTGGGGTTATCAGCACCATGCTCCAAACAACTGAGCTAACAGAATGAAGGCTGGTATATAAATTTAATAATAAAACAATGTGCTCTGCAGCTGAGCTATGGCGTTTTCCATCAAGAAGCAATGAGCATCTGTATTCCCACATGCTCTTGCACTGCCACAGCCCAGTAATCAGAACCTCTGCTATCAGAGGACGGGGGTCTGAGAAAATAGGAGAGGTGCAGGAACCAGAAAACACTGCTCCACCAAGGACTCTGGCTTCTTTCAGAAAGTAGGATGGGAGCCAGTTGTGCCTTCACCTGCATATCCTGAGCAGCAAGCCCTATCCTGCCCTCCAACTCCAACAACTAGTACTTAGAACATTCAGTGATGCAGGAGGACACTTCTTGGCCACCACACCATCTTCCAAGGCAGCTGGAGGCTCTCCAGCTCCACCAGTGCCTGAGTAAAAAAGGCCACACCCTCCAAATACACAACACTGAATGCACAGTTTTCTTAGAAGGAACAGAGCAAGAAATACCAAACTGACAACAAGGGTAAACCCTCTCTTGGCTCCAGATCACTGCTGGAGAAGCAGTCTAACTTGCTGCTCCTGGGCGCCTGCATGCAGCTGTTGCAGAATGCAGTGGCCAGACTGTTTGTGGGAGTCAACTATCCCCAGAACTTGTGGGATTTGCACTGGCTGCCAATCTGTTACTGGGCCACAAGAAAAAAGGCTAACAGTGCAACCCTAGACATGCTCCACTCAGAAGTAAATCTCACCAACTTCAATGGTCCTTAGGAAAATGGGTGCAGAACTGCAGCCTCTGTTTCTTCTTCTTGCCCAAAAAAGGTGGTTTCCCCACATCTGATTTAAATAAATCCACAAACCACTGTGGGGATGTTAATCACTAAGGCTGGGCAAGCATCATCCAAGTCCCTGACTTTCCCCAAGTCTTTCCAGAGCTGAGCCAGACCACAGGACCAGAAAAGAGATGTTCAGATGCTGCACATCAGCCTCTATAGTACAGGATTATATGTTAAATGTAGACCTTGCATTTCATTCGATGCCAAGAAAGCCCTTGCATTTGATTTCCTGGAAACCTTGCACATAACAATTGCCTGTCCAGCTCAGGAAACCTTAAGGTGTTGGTAGAATCAATGCAAGCTTCATCTGGCCAGGCAGCAAAGTGGCTGTGTGATCACTTCAAAACATGATTTTCAGGGTAGATTGATATAGTACCATGCACACAAGGAGAGGGTGCATAAAGTACCTGTTTAGGTATGTAACTCCATCATTTATTTCAGGACTGATGAGAATGTGACCCTTGAGGCTTCTCTATTTGGCCACCTGGAGTCTCCCAGGTCACACCTCTAACTGGCCTTGCTATGTGCTCTCAGCAGCCTACTTTCTGCAACAATGACCCACCTTCCAGGAAGCTAGTATAGCTGCTCTACCTCTTCTGTCCAACAACTTCTGATCAGAGAGGACCCAAAGCAACAACAATAAAATCAACATTTCCCTTACGCAATATGATAGCTTTTTGAACTTCTCTTACTTCTGCAAAAGGACTAGTAAGCTCTCTTGGACCATTCTCCATTATAGACCAAAGCTGAAGTAGGAACAAAACTCCCTTAATTGTATTCTGTTAGCAAGCTTGGTTTCCCACAAGGGGATGAAAGCCTTCTTGACACCTTGCCAGATTAAAAAAAAACATTCGATATCAGAGCTGTCAACCCAAATTGCTTCAAGTTCTACTGATAACTGGCTCTGACAAATATTAACATGTCTGGTGTTTGTGTGTTGATTAGTTAAGTGATGAAACCACCTGCTAGGAGAACATCTCATTAAAAATGCCACTGTGGGTGACAAAGGTTGGATTAAATGGGCAAACAGTATGCATAGCAGTTGCCAGCCACTCTCTTGACAGCCTGCGTCTTTGAAGGAATGAGACAAATAGAAGAGAATTGCTGTGCTAATGCCTTCCATATTTAAATGGAATCCATGGATCCCAGCACTTAAGTCAGAGGTCCACAGAGATTAAAGAGCTACCTTATATCCTTGTGAATGCATGGCTGTCCACCCACTTGCAACTAATTTATATGTTTTGTAGAGAGTTTATTTTGTCCAGCAGGTCACCGCTTATCTCCAGAGAAGAAAAACAGCCATTGTTCTATTCCAGTAGTCATTCTGGAGTACTTTATTTTATAGACTATTTTAATGTCCTTCTACTGCTTCCTCATACATC